TTATACCTGTACATAACTTATCATAACAATTTATCATAACTTTCCTTTAATATTCTTAATAGATTGCACAGCGAGCTTATAAACATGCACAAATGGAGAAAATTCGGATTCAAATCTGCATATTGTTCAGACGAACTTTAAAGTTTTAACAACCATGTGAAAAAACTTTAGACTGTTCAAAGAACCTCTTTTTTTAATCATGTCGTGATGTAAAAATTCTTAACATCCTTTGATATAGTATGTTTGTGTCTGAGGCATAATAGCAATAACTTACTTAAAAAATAAAGAATTTCACACAAAAGTCAAAACTACTGTTGTAAACATAGCTTTGTATGTGACATCTTAATTTATTCACTTTTTTTAATGGCTCGGGTACTTTACCGTTTTGTGAAAAAAAAATCAAACTTCGAATTAATTGTATCGATCCTGACGCCTTTGGAGTAGTATTATTTTTATTTTATTTATGTATTGAAAATGTATTTACATACACCTGCACTTACCTAGCATAGGCAGTAACGCAAACTATTGACTTAAATATTGTATCGTCAAAAGCAGATCTAATAAGTTATAAAAGCGTACCGAGTAAGAAATGTTGAATGGCGCTCGCCCAATGGTTTCACCGTCATACAAATCTATGAACTACAGAATAAGTAATTTTTATACAATCCATGAGCCAGCTATTTCCGCACAAAACCACGTGTTTGCACAGCAGACGACAATCCAAAAACATCGTTCGTTATAACATCAAAATATTTTTCTTTGATATAAGAATAGTATTGATTTTATATAAAAATGCAATATCTTCAACAATTAACATTTCTTAAGAGCCAACCCGTCTTTTTACCAATCTAAACTCTTGATTAATCTATGACCTATTTCCTGTTGAGCAACACCGGCATAAAAGGAAATCCCAAACCCGATGTAAATTTTGAAGTCTGCATATCATACATCAAATCCGGCTTCTTTCCTCATAAAATAAATGCATCTATTTTATATTTTAAATAGATGCTACCCCGGCTGACCAGTCAACAGTTTGATGTCAATGAGGAAAACCTTTACTCTGTACGGTATATAAAAATGTCTTGTAAAGTCAGAAAAAGTAGTAACAAATAACGCTTTTTTGTGTTCAAAGAACTGGACCTATTTCTTATGTCATAAAAACCTTAATGTGTTTAAAAATAAGCCTGCAAAATGCAGTGTTATAAATTTTGTCATTATTCTATTTCTTGTTTCATTATTCTAATAACCTTGATCGGGATAATTGAAAATGGAAATGATCAAGTTAGTGTTTCATTGTGATAAATAAAAGACTGTTTAGCTTTCTTTCAGATGTTTAATTGCTTCACTTTTACTTTGGACTTTAACTTTGACATTTGTTCGTCAATTTTTATATTTCCTGGAGACAAAGAAATAGGAAATTTTAAGTATCTCCTCTTTTTAATTTGAAATCTGAAAAAAAAAAATCACTAATCTAAAGTTATTGGTAATGTTTCCAATTGGTTTAACGTATCTTTTTGTCCAGGAATACACATATGACAAAAATCCAGTAAGATCCTTTTTCCTCAGATATGTCCCTTCTAATTTTTTACCAGGTTAACATTGCTTATCTAAGCAGTACACAAATATTGATTCAAAAGATAAGGTATTACTTAAACGGAACAAAAGAAACTCAACTGTCTATAAAATATCTTTCATTGTAAAACGTTGCAGCTCTAGAATGAGGGTTGTTTTTCATGCTTATTTCATACCATGTCACTTCAATGAAAATCAGATAACCTTGTATTTCGACACGATTATTTAACTTGCATATTTGAAAGTCGAAGTAGGATTTTTATTTCAATTTTGAAGTTCTAGGGTGTAATTCTCTAATCTTTGGTGATCTTTGAAGCACCTGTGACATAAGCCAATATGTCACACATTTAAAACCTGAATTAGACGCGTACAATGTATTGAATGAATTACATACTGTGATATTGGAAATTCAATATTTTATGATAAGCATTCAGTTTTATATGTCTTAGTGAACACCTGTATCTTTGCTAGCCATTTATTGTTACACATTGAAACATTCTGACAAGATAACTTAACTAAATTACAAATATTTTGAATTGGTGACGAAACCTTATACACGTTCTTTGTCTACGTTTTATGAGGACATTGGTTAGAAAAAATGTTCGATAGCTTCTAATGCCAGATTTAAAAGAAAACTTGAATGAGTGTTAATTAGTTAAGAATAAAATGGATTGATAACAATATTTTATTACCATAATCGCAATCAGGTCTTCAACTATCAAACTTGATTAGTTTGCGAAATATTTGACAGAAGCAAACTACTTTGTTTGTGTTAACACTTGCTCAGTTCAACGTATCTGTCAGGAATTTTCAAATTTTTATTAAATTTCAATTGAAGAGCGCGATAAACTTCTATAGGCACAATTGAGCTTTAGGATATCACATGAAAGCTTATTAGAAAGGTTATGTTGTATCTTAGCCATAAAAACAAATCCTTTTGAGTGCGACATTTAACTCCGGACACGACATTTGTCCGGACTTTCGCCAACCACTTTTCCAAAGATATGTGGAAACCATTTATATCATCTGATGGGATTTTTTAAAACTTAACACATGAACCAAACTTTACACCTGATTATCTTCTAGGTAAAAAGATATTACACCTGAAATCAAGAAATCCCATGGGATAATGGTGGGATTTTTTCTCCTAACCAATATCCCACCATTATTCTGTGGGAGAAAAAGGTATTCTGTGGGATTTTTTCTCCCATAGAAGTTTGAAAATCCCATAAATGCTTTATAATGGGACAAAATCTCCCATATATTTGTATACAGAAAATAATCTCCCATCTCTTTATAAATGTGGGATTTATCCCATATTTATTTCAAAACAGAAAAAAATTCTCCCATGGGATTAAGAAACAACAGTTTTAAACCAAATAAAGAAAATATTGAACAGTTTAACTACCATTAATTATTTATTTTCATTTAAGTTTCTGTGTTTCCTACACCATTTTTTTATTTCTTAAAATTAACCAATTTGGAGGGCAGTGGGGTAATGTTTTATTTTTCAAATGATTATATAAATATTTTACATGAAATAGCACTAAAAATCAAAAGTGGTTTATCTATATAACTTTCAGTTTTTTTTTAAACTAAAAAGACAATTTCCTTGTAAGTTGTATGTAGTTTACCTTCTTTTATTCCTTGTATGTAAATTTTGAATGAGAAAAAAATGCAATTAAGAAAGAACAAATCTTTTTTGTTTATTTTCCTCCTAATCATTAAGGTTAATTTATTGCGTAAGTGTCATTTGTCAAGCTTTACAACAAGATCAGATCCATATATGTTGTTAGATCTTTGCCTGTTTGCTGCACTAAACTGATGGGTTTCCAATTAAAAAATCACATGAAATTGGGGCGAGTCATTCACTCTGAGATTCTCAAAGAGTTTTAAAACTTATTCAGATGAACAAACTGTAATAATTTACCTATTTTTTACTCTAAATTTTCTTTGTATGATCCTGATCATGCCTTGTTTTTGTTCCAATGACAGCTGGAAATTATTTTAGACATAACGAACCCGATCTGACAAATGAACAAGAAATAATGTTGAAAAAAAAAATCAACCGTCTTCATTATGCACATTTACTGGTAGTTTGCATTAAAAATATTTAACAATTTTACCTTTTCACTAATTTCAAAACATTTTACCTACACCTTAATTAGAAACATTTCCATAATTTTTGACAGTTCATTGAACCCGTTCAAAAATAAATATGATGAAAGGGCATGGATCCAAAAATTGCGGTGGTACTCTACTCAGTGTTTCTTATCATCCAGTAGAAGACAAGTTTTCCTTAGTTCTGTTACTTCTTTAATAAAAGCACTCTGCTGATCTTTTGCTTATTATTTTTGGTACATAAAATAACTTATAATATGCACCATTGACATGGATTCAACTGATAAGTCACCTTAGGCCATTGCAAGTTTCTTCTTTGTTTAACATCTGTATGCACCTTGATTTTGGACACCCCAAAACAACATAAAATAAGAGATTCAGGCCACAGTTAGTTAAAGCTCACTATTAATACTAGCGCGGATGCAAATATAGCAGAATGATATTGGGTATTAAACTTTTACTTCAGCAATCTACATGTAATTTAAATAAGATGTTAGACCCGCACTCATACTCGCTAAACTGACTGTAGTGACTATGTGAGCAGATCTAACATCTAATTTTAACTAGATTGGTACTTCAGTGGCTTAAATTTATTCAACTTCTTTCAGGAATTCAATTTTCTTGTCATAAATGCATATTGTCAATTATTATGCTTCCTGTCAGTTTGTCTCTGTGACATAACCCATATACCCTACTATTCTTGCATTATGTTCTTATGATTTAAATACACTGTAGCATAAACATACTATGCCGAAATAGTGCTCGACTATGGGTGGCACTGCACATGTAGCTCTCCCATCTGTCAATATATATTATTTCAGAGAGCTACAGTTCTGCAGTACATAACACTTCAGATGAAAAATTAACATTCAAAATAATTCTTTTAAAATAGTTTCTTGCAATTCCCCCCCCCCCCCCCCCCTTCAGTCAAATACTATTCTCTAAAACTATCTGTGCATTATACCTAAAGCATGGAAAGTTCAAAATTAAAGAAAAAGATTATGACGCACGTTGCACGAGGTGACATATTATAATAGGGATGCATAATAATAACATTAGTGTAGTATTTTGCATGTACTATATGCCTACATGTATTATAGTAGTCAGGGTTTGACACATAGTGCACTCGCACCATGTGTCAAACCCTGACTACATTTTTCTTTTTAATGAAATATAGTTAATTAACAAGGCTTTCTTTTCATTCAATTCATGGAATCTGGGGGAGAATGAAACATTAAGTCTTATTTGGTCATTAGACTTGTTACTGGAGTATCTATTTTTTTTTATTAACACATACTTTAACATCTAAAATAATCTTTGTTGTAATATTTGAGTTTATAGTATGATATCATCATAATTGTTTTAAATGGGTAGGGGTGTTTTCAAACATTCATAAATAAATCAATATAGATTACAGAGAAAGTTTGTATTACTTCTATTAATTCAAAATTTTCTCAAAACCCCAACACAGGTAAAGTTTGACATCTGGGTATTTCACTGTGTATTAAACCACTTCCTGTGTATAGGAATTAGGAGACAGATGGCCACAGGTAGACTGGTAGCTCCCAAGGCATTCACACCTGTACAAAATAAGCCCCTCCCTCACCTGGAATTTACCACCCGGTAAAAATCCTCTGCCTTTAGGCATAGTGCATGCAAAATAAAACACTTTTAAATAAATATGCACACTTCATGAATTCCCTAGTTCATTTAATAAAGGTACACATCCCTTAATTTTACATTTAAGGAAATATGCAAGGTATCTTACCTACTGATAATTTTTCAAGAAATTCTATATTTAAACTTATAATACATGTACCATATTACATATTTTTAGACAAAAAATCAGTATGCATTTCCAGGGATTTTGAAAAGATATTAAAGTTTGAAAATTTTTGCATTATTCAAAGAAAAATGTACAAAAATTACAAAACATAAATTCCAGATTTTTTTTTCATCAAAACTGTTTTAGAGGAGATTTACAAATCCATATATAGACAATAAAAATATTGCACACAGGTCCTTCCTTTAGTGGAACTATTGAACTCCAGGGAAGAACCCAATAAAGTGCAAACTACATTGCGCATGACCTTAAATGCCTGTTTATCAATTATGTAAGAGAAAAATAAATTAAAGAACTTGTTCTAATTAAAATAATGAAAAAAATCCTTATTTAAGCCTTTAAGTTTAATTTTTAATTAAGAAATTTGACAGATGAATAAAAAGAGTATTCAGTAATATACAATATAATACTTATTAAATTAATTCTCTAACTTAGTTCCATTTAGATATTCAATATTCAGGTCAACACTCTTTACATGAATGAATTATCAACAGTTTTGTCCTTAAAGTTTTCAATGGATCCACAGATCATGAGATGATGTCTCCTTTTATGTGTATGTATATATCTGTGTATACTGAAAAAAAGAAAGTTGCTGTGTGATGAAAAGGATAATAAAGAAGTCTCTGATGAGACTGTAGCTCTACTGGTCTGTATGCATAACAAAGAAAAAGAAGCACTTGGATTTGAAATTTTGCGACAGCATTAAACAGAATTATGTATCTAAGTGTAGTCTACTTGGTGCCACATTACATTGAAATCATACCAAAATTGTAGGTGGAGTAGCGTTTTAAAGGAATTTTTATACAGAAATTTCTATTTTTAGTAACCATGGCAGCACTGTTCATTGAAATTTAAAAAAAAAAAAACAATGCACTATGTACCTTAGTGCAGTCTACTTGTGTGCCAAGTTATATTGAAATCAGAATAAAACAGAGGAGTAGTGTTTTGAAAAATTACAGACAGATGGACAGCTAGACAACGGACAGACAACGGATGGACAGCTAGACGGACGGACAAAGGGACACCTTCCTATCGCATAAGCTCTTTTGGTCTCTGACCAGTAGAGCTAAAACAAGAGGCCCATGGGCCACATCGCTCACCTGAGAAGCTTTGACTGGGTCATGCAATTCTTAACCATGGATCTTAATTTGGACAATTTAAATTCCCTATTGTAGCCCCGCCCAACTCCCAGGGGTCATGATTTTGAATAATTTAGAATCTACACTACCCCAGGATGCTTCCACATAAGTTTCAGCTCTTCTGGCCCAGTGGTTCTCTTGAAGAAGATTTTTCCTATATATTTCTATGTAAAACTTTGATTCCCTATTGTGGCCCCGCCCAGCCCCTAGGGGTCATAATTTGAACAATTTAGAATCTACACTACCCCAGGATGCTTCCACATATGTGTCAGGTTTTCTGGCCCAGTGGTTCTTGAGAAGATTTTTTAATGACCCCACCCTATTTTTGTCTTTCTTTAATAATTATCTCCCCTTGTGAGAGGACCTGGCCCTTCATTTTAACAATTTAAATTCCCCTTCACCCAAGGATGCTTTGTACCAAGTTTGGTTAAAATTGGCCCATTGGTTCTTAAGAAGAAGTCGAAAATGTGAAAAGTTGACAGACGGACAAAATGTGATCAGAAAAGCTCACTTGATCCTTCCGCTCAGGTGAGCTAAAAATTATCAAATTTGTTTTTTTTCAATATTAAAGAAATAAAACTGCAGAATTCAATTGTAAATGGTTGGTTGCGTATTACCGTAATTATTCAAAGTAGTTTTTGTTGTATGGTTTGAAAAATTTTATTACATTGTATTCCTTAATTCTTTCTATTCTCACAAAGAATTACCTTTGCATTTCTTGTATTTACAAGGGGGACAAATCTTCAAGGTACATGTACACTATATGTCAGTATATATATCTTCATTTTCTGTTAAAGGAAAAAATAGAATAAATCATACAATATCAATTACATGTATAATAACAAAGCATGGATTAAATTTTCACCAAATTTAGAAAATGAATTGATCATGTTGAGTATCAAACTATCAATCACTCAAATTTCTCAATCCAGCCAAAATGACTGACACTAAAATTCACCCTAAGAGGACGAAGTACAAAATATTAATTATTTTCATCTCTAAATATACCATAAATGAAACTTTGTGCATGTTCTGCATACAGTTACCAGTATCTGTACTATAGTAGTTTTATGCCCTTGAGAATTTTTCATGATGTCAGATGATGCCATATTTCCATGTCTGTTTTTATACGCCTGTCTTAAGACGGGACGTATTATGTTATGCATGTATTATAGGCTTCATGTTCGTCCGTCCATCTGTCCATTCGTGTCCGGCTCATAAATTGAATACTATTAGGCCTAGGATTGTCAACTAATACTTCTTGGGTAGACGGTGTGACACACACAAAAAGTAGGTTGCTCTGATCTTCAATAAAAATGCTATGGCCAAATATGAAAAATCCTGTCTAGCCTATTTCAAGGTCACTGTGACCTCATAGTTGCTTGTGTTAATTAAGAGTTCTTGATGGCTATATTCCAGATAAAGATCTTTCAATTGATTTAATGTAATTAAAAGAAATTAATGTTTTAGTGTATGATTAAAACTAAATTAGTATTGTATAATATAATTAAAGCTAATTATACATGTGTTCATTGAAAAAAAAATTTACATTTCAATTTTTATATATTTGCAACAAATTGCAGTCATGTCTCACTTAGAATTTTATAGTCTAAAGAATGATTTATTTTTTATTTTTTTATTAGACTGTAGCATTTCCATTATTTCACAAAATATTCAATAAACAATTTAAAGCTGCAGATAGATATTTGTTAAGCTCTAACACAGCCAGTTTAGAATTATATGATGTATTATTTAGTTATAATTAATCCCTACACTGTAAGTCTCTTAGAGATGTATACATGTACAATATTTTCAACATGATAAGAAATGGAAATTAGATCATTGAAATCTGTGTCAATCTGTTAATCAAGGTTACCTGATTTTCTTTCACTCTAACCAATTTATGATTATTGAACAATATTTGACGGACATATCATGCTGTGGCGGGGCATTTTATTTTTCTCTGTGGTAACTCTTTGAAAGTTAAGAGAGTTGATTTCTTAATAATTCTACGGGAATGTAAATTAGGCAGGTCGATAGGTTAGGAGCTAAGAAGGCCTAATATTCATGAAAATCTCATGTGCACCCATCTCTGTGTCTGACGCTTAGGAGGCCACATATAATGTAATTCTTGTGCGGCTACCTTTGTGTTTGAAGTCAGTGGGCGATGACTATTGAAATTGGGAGTCCTTGTGTAATTTAAATCTATGCTACATTAACAAAGCAGGTTATACTGCAACATTCATGAAAAAGTGAACTTTATTTCTTAAATATCCAATTCCCTATCAATTCTAATAAAAAATCATATTATTAGTAATAAAGCTAGAATGTTTTTTATTTCAGTTTAAAGTAATAAAAAATATTTTTACAAATAAATATGTAAAATAAAAAAGTCTTAGCATTTGTGTCTTTTATTATTTACTTACACATAAGGATCAACATGCACACAGATGTATAATTTTCCCCTCAAAAGTACATGAAGATAACTTAATAATGATATTCCTTCCTATGTATTCATGGTATAAAAATAAGTTTAGCAGTTTAAAGATTGATTTTCACTCAAAGTTTTAAGACTGTTTTTCAGAGATTAAAAAAAAAACATTTTAATAATTGATTATATCAATAATCATGTGGGTACATGTCTTATGTAAACTTCAGAGGATCAACAAATTTTCTAACAGAGATTAAGTAATTTGATATTTGGATACAATATAATTAGGAGTTTTTGGGGTGATTAGTTATGTCCATCATGACATGTAATATATTTAATCATTAAACACTGATCCCCATATTATATCTCAAAAATTATCTTGACAGCAAAAAAAAAAAAAAAAAAAAAAAAAGAAGAAGAAGAAAGAAAAAGAAATAATACTTGCAACACACGCAATGTGTGTTAATCCCTATAGTACACTACAGTAGTGGGATACTTTTAACCATGTCTGAGAGAAGATAAGAATTAATTTTCTAATCAGTAATGCTGATGACTGTAATCAACAATGATCAAGATACTTATAAACTGTAACTTGCAAATTACAGACAAAGTTAGACATGACAATATATTTCTAAGTACAATCACCAGCTTGTGTACACATTCAAGTCATTGAGAATATTCGAACGAACGAGTACTACAACGTTAATTGTCATTGAGGAAATTCGAACGAAAGAATAATATTCGGATGTGTATAATTTTCTGACGATTATTTACTTTGTTAACTTGTATAATGTACTACTGAATATCCCCATCGACTAGACTGCTAGGTTTGCAAACACTTTACAGTGAAAGAAATTCATAACATATGAAGACACTGTAAGTCTGTTTATAAAATCAGAGGAAACGGGATGATCTTATACTAGATCTTTAGACTAAAAAAAAATCTATGATCCATGCAGTAACATGTGAAATAAATAACAAATTCAATAATTCTAAATCTACTTACAAAAATAGAGCAGGTCTTTGTCAACATCATGTGGAAATTTCCTCATAATCTCTTGTCGCCGTTTTTTTTTTTTATTTTCCTTGATTGGCATTGGGTAATTCTAGGGATTTAAATAAAAATGCATCCTTCTGCACAGAATTTTTAAGAAGTGAATTCATAGATAGAATATTGCTGCTTTTTTTATTTATTGGTTTATCTTTTTTTAATTTAAACAATGCACAGTTCACGAGCAAAAAAAAAAAAGAAATGAAATAAATTATCAGGCCTATTTTTTCTGATTTTTGTTGTTGTAAATACTACCATAGATAATACCCAAGGTAGTATTTACAACAACAAAAATTTAAATAATGGTAATTAAAATGTCCAATACCAAAAATATTAATATTTTAATATAAATGGGACATCGATCATGATCACTGAGAACATGATAAGAAGGAGGAGGGTAGGGGGGGGGGGGGGGGGGGTTAGTCTCTGTGTATCTCTAAAATAAAATGTTTCCCTTGAAACGTCAAGAAAACTTTATTTGCATGGTCAGCGTTTGAAAGTCCAGTCAGCAGTACATAGCCCCAATAAAGCCCCGTCTTCTTTTTCTTCACGGCATTTTGATATATTGTTAACCTTCTACATGTATGATGTTCAAAATTGTATCATTCACCAAATATCCTTCATGTGATAATCAATAGCTAGTAACCTATAAAATTTTGTCTCTTCAAATCCCATTTTTGTGAAACGTAGAATGAAAAATTAAAAGCTATTATACGAGTATTCATTTTACTTTCATAAACATGATTCAAGTTTATATTTTTAAGGGGGAAAATATATACAATTTATTTTATCGTTTGCTATCAATTATGAATGGTGTAAAAATGTTGGATTTAATTTTTAAATTGAAAATGAAAAAAAAATTATGACTTCATCAATCCGGAGGTTTAGTAAAGCACGGAGTTTGTTTTTCATGAGATTCAGTTGTTAATTCGACTCTCTGAGTGTTAATATCCCCTGTGTATGTTTTGTTAGTTCCAAGCAAATTGTGACAGTTTTGCTACCTGTGGAAAACAAAAGACTCTTAATTGCCTCTAGGTATATACATACATGTATCATACCCTATCGAGATCTGGGGTGAAGATATTGGATTCTTGGAAGTTAGCAAGGGGGGGGGGGGGGGGTAGGTTTAACAGCAGACTTAAGTTGCTTTATTAGTATTCAAACATTTACCACGTTTACTGCAAAATTAAGAAAAACAGGTTATACTACAGAAGTTGATAATTTTTTCTTTGAAATAAAACTCAGATGACAAATATCAAAAAAAAAAAAAATCACATTGAGCTTAACTTAGGATCGACACCCCCGTCCAAAAATATAGTCCCGTCCAAAGCTAAAGCGTTTAGAGGTCAACAGAGTCAATATCTCGAAGTGGGGTCTTGTGACGCGTTTATGAATATGTCCTATTATTGTTTTTAACGATAATATAAAAATGTATCATTTATAAAATTTTATAGCTTGAACTTTAGTTGAAAGAATATTATATGTCCGATCTGGGACACTAATCATAATACGACACTCTCTACAGAGTTATGTCCCTTTCTAGTACGTAAGTTATAGATTTAAAATACTTTTGGTCTTTATGTTTACCTGATTTATTTTTTCATTTAAACAATAATAGCCAATGTAACTTTTAATTTAAGAAACTTTGGACGAAAAAGAAATTTTTTGAAAGTTTTATAGAGAAAAATGACAATTTATAGATCATTGATTTAAATTATAGTAAATACTCAAAGAGGTCTCCTTAGAACTGTTGGTATATAAAGAAAATAATGTGTTTATTATATTATTAGGCATTTTATTATATATTATCAGGAAACATGTTTTAATGTTATTCTAGAAATCACAATTTCACACATAAATCGTTCAAATTGAAGAAATAAATGAAATTAAAAATAAAATAAGAAAACTGAACGGAAAAGATATAACAAATGTAAATTCTGTATGAAAAGTATACACATGTAGTTAACTTTCCTACCAATAATCTTGTATTCAAAGTGTACAAACAGTACATTTCAGATAGATACAGAACTTGTGAAATAAACTAAATAGGGATACTAGCACTGTACAAACAGTACATTTCAGATAGATACAGAACTTCTGAAATAAACTAAATAGGGAAACTAGCACTATTGTTTAATATCAAGCATCTCAGGTTTTTTTTTTTTTTTTTTTTTAAAGGACATGTTTGAAATAAAGTTCAAACTTATCACTGCACATCAACACAAAATACAGAAATCTGTACTTTCTAAATGTAAAATGAGAAATAGTTTTTCATAGGGACCATTCATGTAAATTACTGCACATCAACTCTTCTGACAGCGAATATCCAATTTTTTATTTCAATGAAATTTCTGCCAGTTTGGTATTATTTTGCAATAGCATGTACTTTCTAAATGTAAAATGATAAATTGTAAGAGGACTGAAATTTTCATAGGGAGAATCCATCATCATGTAAATTACTCTGTCAATCGGACTGGTGTATTCTCTTGAATGAGAATAACTTTTTTATTTCTCAATGAAATTTTGCCAGTTTGGTATTATTTTGTTTGCAATAGCATGTACTTTCTAAATGTAAAATGATAAATTGTAAGAGGACTAAAATTTTCATAGAGAGAATCCATCATCATGTATTACTCTGTCAATCGGACTGGTGTGTTCTCTTGAATGAGCATAACTTTTTTATTTCTCAATGAAATTTTGCCAGTTTGGTATCATTTTGCTTGCAATAGCATGTATTTTCTAAATGTAAAATGATAAATTGTTCAAGAGGACTGAAATTTTCATAGGGAGAATCCATCATATGTTATACTCTGTCAATAATGGACTGGTGTGTTCTCTTGAATGAGCATAACTTTTTTGGATGATTTCTCAATGAAATTTTGCCAGTTGGTATTATTTTGCTTGCAATCCCAACATACATGCCATGTACTTTTGTTTCATCCTCCTCAGACCTTCTGTGATCTTTGCTTCTGATATTGATATGTAGCTCCTCTGATCAATATCCTTCCATATCTTCTTCTGATGCTGGTAGATAAGCTCTGCTTAGCGTATCTGCTAAATTGCACCTTTCTTATAGATATCTGTAAAAAAAAAATCAGTCGAAAATCCTTGATTCTTAGGTGCCATCACAAGATCCCTTTGAATTTTCAATCGGCTTATGATCAGACTTGTTTGTTCAATGCACACAGATAATTTCATTGTTTATTTAACGCAGATGTTAAATTCTTTTTCAATTTGATAATCACTTCACGCTTGAACATACACAACCGTTGTCCACTGCATCAAACAAGAATCCATATAGCTGAAATTTTGCCTCTTTAGTTTGGTAAAGGGTATGCAAGGTGAAACACTTAGTGCTGAAGGCATTTCATTTTATTAAAAATATAAATTAAAGACAATGCAATTTTCAACATGTAACTTTTGAAAGATTGGGTCTGCACAAAATTGATAACAAACGCTGTACTGCTGCTAGGCATCTTTTGCTTGTATTTATAATAAGAAAAAAGTCCTAATTTTGTCAAAGTTTAATGTTCTTCTGAATTAAAATATTATTAAAAAATTAAGATGAAACAATGTCAAGTGTAGACAAGTATATTTCAATTAGTGCTTCATCCATCCTCCTCTGAAATTCTTCAGGTGCTGTGCATGCCATACCTCAACCAACGCACCATCAAACAAATTTTGACTTAGGAAACTACTGGTTTTGTCGATAGGTGGTATAAATTTCTGTAAATTTTCTTGGCCTTTGTCATATCTTATCTGAGAAATATAAAAAAAAAATGTTTCATTTACTTTTTTTGAAAAAAATTGATTTTACTTCTCGTACAATTTTCAATTTCTCGTTACTAAATTCTGTCCTGTAGCCGAAAAGTTGTTCTATATATGTAACTAAATACCCCTTCTTTAGTGAGAGAGGCACTTTCCTGGTAGGTATCTTTGTTGGCTGCACAGTATTCAATTAGCAAAAATTCAAGTTTTCCATTTCAATTTTAAATGTTCTTTGAAAAAGGCATTTTTTGTGTAAATTAAATCTGTGCGACAAAGTTCTGCTCATTCATAGTGATAAGTTTCAATCGACTGTCATTTCATAAATTTAATTTGTTCCTGACACTAACAAATGTCAACGCGAACTTTTTTCTGTTTCTGGAAAATTGTCGTCAATGGCTTCGTCTTTTGTTGTACAAAAGTTGGCATGTTTTGTAGTCATTACTTTTTAAATGTTTCCAAATGATAAATTGTAATTTTCATTGCCATCATCATGTAATCTCTGTCAATCGGACATGTGTTCTCTTGAATGAGCATAACTTTTTTATTTCTCAATGAAATTTTGCCAGTTTGGTATTATTTTGCTCGCAATGGCATGTACTTTTTAAATGAAAATGATAAATTGTAAGAGGACTGAAATTTTCATAGGGAGAATCCATCATCATGTTAAACTCTGTCAGTCGGACTGGTGTGTTCTCTTGAATGAGCATAACTTTTTTATTTCTCAATGAAATTTTGCCAGTTTGGTATTATTTTGCTTGCAATAGCATGTACTTTCTAAATGTAAAATGATAAATTGTAAGAGGACTAAAATTTTCATAGGGAGAATCCATCATCATGTAATACTCTGTCAATCGGAGTGGTTTGTTCTCTTGAATGAGCACAACTTTTTTATTTCTCAATGAAATTTTGCCAGCTTGGTATTATTTTGCTCGCAATAGCATGTACTTTCTAAATGTAAAATGATAAATTGTAAGAGGACTGAAATTTTCATAGGGAGAATCCATCATCATGTTAAACTCTGTCAATCGGACAGGTGTGTTCTCTTGAATGGTCATAACTTTTTTATTTCTCAATGAAATTTTGCCAATTTGGTATTATTTTGCTTGCAATAGCATGTACTTTCTAAATGTAAAATGATAAATTGTAAGAGGACTAAAATTTTCATAGGGAGAATCCATCATCATGTATTACTCTGTCAATCGGACTGGTGTGTTCTCTTGAATGAGAATAACTTTTTTATTTCTCAATGAAATTTTGACAGTTTGGTATTATTTTGC